ACGCGAGCGCCGGTTCGAGTCACGCACGCAGTACGTATTTACTATAATTAGACATAGTCTTTACCTTGCCGTTTATTCGGTGTTATTTGCTTACTTTACTTCCTATGTCGACAGCAACTATGAGTTTAAAATCTCTCAAATAGCGCCCCCACAGGCGTAAAAGGGTTAACGCACGCGTTTTTTTGCACACACACACACACGAAAAAAAATCATTCAAAACAGCGCCCCCACAGGCGTAAATAAGTTAATGCACGCGTTTTTTTTTTCTTTTTACACACGAAATTTTCATTCGACCTCACACACGCCATTTTTAAAAACACACACGTAATTTTTTAACACACGTCGTTTTTTAACACGCCATTTTTAATCACACACGTCATTTTTAAAAATACACACGTTATTTTTAATCACACACGTCATTTTTTTAACACACGTCGTTTTTAAACACACGCCATTTTTAAAAACACACAGGTCATTTTTAAACATACACGTCGTTTTAAAACTCACACGTCGTTTTTAAACACATGCATCGTTTTTTACACACACGTTATTTTTTAAACACACATTATTTTTAAAATACACATGGCATTTTTAAACACACAAACGTTTTTTTAAATACACATAATTTTAAAACACACACGTCATTTTAAGACACATATAATTTTTAATTCACACGTCATTTTTAAAACACACATTTTTTAAAACACCCACGCCATTTAATATACACATGATTTGTTAAAGCACATACCATTAAAACGCAGTCACGCCGTTTTTTTTAAATGCACACGTCATTTTAATACACACACGCCACGGCCTCCAATACGTACGTAATTTTGAATTATTAGTACGTTTTCTTCTAGTATACACAAAATAATAAATTTACATTCCGCGCCTCGTACGTTGTGGCGACTGTGAGTGATGCTTTATTTTGCACATTTTGCGTGTTAGGGTAGAAGCCTACTCATAAATTAATAAACCCAGAATTTATTCATTTTGCAATAAATTGTACGCCAAGGCAATATAAGGATATTGATCTAAAAAAAAGTTGGGGGTCACCAGCCATTTTTTGAGAAATTGATGGTTGTATTTTAGTGAAAAGTCGCCATTTTGACACTATTGTAACACTTTCACCACAGATTTATATGGCAGAGTTATTATGCAATATCTCAAAATCTAGCCTGGTGACATAGGCTGAAAAAATCATTTATTGTTAATGATTGAGTATTTTTTATTGTTATGAAGTATTTAAAAAATCTAGGTTTTAAAAAGTGTAAACAAATGCAATTTTTCTTTAACATTGTGTTCTATGGAATTGTTCTAAAAATAACAATTTTCAAGAATTATTAGGACACGTTTCGCGAAAAGCATAACTGTAACACACAAAATAATGCTATTTCATTGTACCATAAAACATTACCTTCATGATTGTACATAATTAACTAATGCCAGTGAACATTGTCATGTGATTTATGACATTGTCAAAAATTATGACTAGGCATCTATCTTAAAGGGCGGTGGTTTGATGTGGGACTCATAGCGACGTACACAAAGCGTGTAAAATACAGTGTTTGTTTACCTGAAATTCGGACACGCGCTGCGCGTCGACCACCGCCCTTTAATTCAAATATGGTCTATATGGACAAACTGAAAACTAGAAATAAATATTGTATTATATGTATTTAATATGTTACATACATTGCATACTTACCAAGGATTGCAGGCCAAATCTAATGTACGGCCTTGGTGTACAGCCATGGCAAGAACCACGTTCTGTTTGGTACAATATGATGCTGAGCGCCGGTGCCGAGACTCGTCACTAAACAACCTTCGATACGTTCCACCATTTGAAGGGAAGGCCACTGGTACGTGTAAAGGTGCATTTCTCAGCAAACTGTCACCAGGGAGAACATTTTGATCTTTGTCGGGAATTACGTCAGCGAAATCCGAAATATTGTTCCGACTACTTGAAAGAGTTGTGTTTTTACCCTCTTCCACGGTACTCTCTGGATTTTCTATCCCGGTAGTTTTATTTGGAGCGTTGTCTGTAGTCGACACGTGAAACAAGCTCGCTCGTACATCTCCCGCATCATCACGTTCTTCATCCACAAAATCTGTTTTATTATGTGTATTTTTCTGGACATTAGTTTGATATTTGATGTTTGATGTGAAAGTGTTCTTTTTGTTCGGGAAGATTGCGTCGTCAATATTGGTAGCATTCAGAACTGTTGCATTTTGGGATAGGGAATCTTCGTCGTGAACGGCTGCCCTCTTCACAATCCGGCCAGTGTGACCATCACTGACGTTCCCGTTACGAGATGTTTCGATAGTAGGTATATTACTTAAATGTAAAAAATCACTACCTTGCAACAAATGTGGAAACAGCGATGCCAACTGTCTCT